GACTCAAGGTCGGGGCCCGCACCTGTCCTCTCCTGGACCGGTTCCCACCCCCAGAATTATCTCCCCTTGGGAGGCGGGAGACCTAGGTCCTGCCAGGCACTGGCTCAGCCAGCACTGGTTTTGCTCGGGCTGCAGCTGTGACCTCGGAAGGGTCCCTTCCTCTCTGATGGCAGTTGCAACACATTGAACCTCAGTCCAGGTCGGACGCGCGTTGGTGCCCAATAAATGAGTATCATTAAATCAACCGAAGAGTGGGAGGGAAGGGAAAGCAAACTGGGAAGGAGTACATCCATGCTAAATGGGTTATAGTGAGCACCCACGGTGCTCCTGTGCTGAGTGTTTTTATATTTGATTTCATCCAGTCCCCTCAACAACTTTGGATATGATTCAAGGCCATTTTACACAGGAGTAAAAGTGAGGCCCAGAGAGGAGTACTCCAAGTGTATCAGGCTCCAAAGCTGTGCTCTCCGAGATGCTCCAATCTCTTCAGCTATGAAATGACACCTCTGTCAAGGTCTCCCGCCGCCCAGTCCACTCCGCGGGCCCTGACTTTCCAGCCGTGGGCACTTCTCTCCACTTTCAGGCTTGGCAGAGAAGCGGCCCGGGAGAACTGCGCAGGCGCTCCTCGGAGCCCAGAGCCCAGCCCACAGGGAACAGTTGTGTGCGTGGAGAAACTCGCGGAGCCCCGCCTGAGCTTCAACACGCAGGCTCAAGGGCTCGGGCTCTACGCTGCCGGCTCTGATTGGCCGCCACGGGTAAGGGCGCCGCCCAATGGGAGGTGTGGATAGTGAGGGGTGCCGCACACCAGGAGCGGAGGGTCTGTGTCAAGAGCGGCGGGGGCTGCGGGAGGCAAGAGAGACAGGTGAGGGGCGCCGCGCCGTGGGGCAGGCGGGCGAAGAGAGCTCTGTGCCAACGGAGAGGGTGGAGGGAGAACGAAGGGGGCACAGGAGGTCGAAGAGCTCTGGGGCCTGCGCGATGGCGGGAGCGGCGCGGAGTGGAAGAAGAGCGCTCCTTCCTATGTGCCCTGGAGCATTGATTGAGCTCCCGCGGCGTGCAGGACCCAACGCTTAAGCTCGCGGTTCCCCGACACCTTGCAGGGAGCTCTTAGGTTGCTGAAGTGATATGTCTGTTCAGAGAAAAGGGATGTGTAGCTGTGCAGCGAGAAAGTTGAACTTCCAGGCCCCTGGTGGGTTCTTTCCTGAAAGGACTTACTGATATACTGTGTAGAAAGCCCCCATTCCTCCCCACAATAGTTTACAGTCCAAGATTGGGAAGGAGGGGAATGTAAACGTGTAAGGTCCAAATGTTAGGTCTTTCGGATTCCCTTCTAGAGGGGCATTTACTGGGTGCCTGCTTTGCATAAGCCTTACACCAGGCACTGGTCCTGATCCTAGAGGAGTTCTCTGTTTGGAGTGGGGCTGTAAACAAGAAAAAATTAAACTCTGAAGCCCTGGCAACTCAAAAATTAGTGAGGGAGTTAAGGAAAGTTTAGCTCCTGGGCTTTTAGTGAATTATTTACTCAAGGAGCATTTATTGGGCACCAACTGAAAGCAGGGCCCTGTGCTGGACTGTTATTGTGGGAGTTCATAGTCTAATAGGAGTTGGTCTGGTGGGGAGGTGGAATGTGAATGGGATAGTTAAATTCTCAGGGCTTCACTTCCAGGAAGGAGCATTATTCATTCACTAAATATCTACTCAGTGCCTAATGCTAAGTATTGTTCTTGGCGCTGGAAATATATCAGTGGCGAACAGACTGAAATCCCTGCCCCCTGGGAGCTTAATATGAGCAAGGGTTATGTGCCAGGCTGTAAAACGAACTCCACCTGCCGTCTGGCACTAACAGATGAGTTGAAGAAGACATGGAGAAGGTAGGAATTGAACTTGGAAAATTAGCTGTTATGCTTGGGAGGGAGGGTCATTTGCTGAAGGGACCCTGAGCCCCTGCTATGTGAAAGGACCTGGGTTGGATTGAGCCCACGCATCTAGAAGGGGAGATGGGACACCTCCCTGGTCAGTGGTTTTATTGGTAACAACAGTCCCTATAATGAATCAGACCTGTCCTGCCTACAAGCTCATTGAGGAGCACAGAGACTTCATCCCAAGTTCATGATAATTGCTATGATAGAGGAGGCACTGGATACTATAGGAATCCCAAGATGGGGAGTGGCCACCAGCCTGAGGCTGTAGACATGTTGTCAGAAAAGGTTTCATAAAGAAAATGCTGGAGAGGAGTTTGCTAGACAAGAGGAGAGAACTTCCTTGGTAGAAGGAATAGCAGCTTCAAAGACCTAGAGTCCAAAAACATTTCTGGATAACTACAATGGTTCTGTCTAGCCTTTATCAAGTACCAGGGACTTTGTGGTCAGTACTACTTTTAGCCCCATTTCACAAGTGAGAAAACAGTCTGAGAGAGGAAGTAGTGGAGCTGAGTTTCAAGCCCAGAGCAGTCTGGTTCTAGGCCTGGGCTCTTAATCTCTTTGCTTTGCTGCATCTCTGTGTCTCCATGTAGAAGGAAGAAAGGTGCTGCACAGAGAGGGAACTGCACAGGCAAAGGCCAAGAGGCCCGAAAAGAAATGTGTTCTCAGAAAGGGTGCAACTGCCCTCTGGGTAAGAAGGGCAGTGTCAGAGGCCAGACTGAGGAGGGCTGTCTCTCTCCTGCAGATGTCTGGCCACCATGGGACATGTGTCAGCTTCAGAGTCACAGGCTCATTGAAGACTGAGGAATAAACACTGGATCTAGTCTCAGCGACTGACACAGGCTAGTGAGTGACAGGATGGGCAAAGGAATTCCTGAGACATCCCCCCTCCCCATGGATTCCTGGTGTCTCACCAGCTCCCTTCTTTCTCCAGGCACTGATTTCCCCACAATGGCAGAGACAGCTGAGATGGCCGAGATGCTGACACAGATATCACCAGGGGCAACAGAGATGTCAGTACCAACATTTGGGGAGATATCAACCGAGGTGACTGAGATGAAACCTGGGGAGGCCCTTGCCTCATCCCTCTTTTTCCAACACCACCAGTTCATGTGCTCTGAGTGTGGCAGCCTCTACAACACACTGGAGGAAGTCATCTCACACCAGGAGCAGCATGTGCCCACCGTCACAGAGGAGGAGGCACTGACCACCCAGGACGCTGGCCTGGAGCCAGAGCTAATGCCAGGTCCTGAGGATGGGCCTT